CAATAGAAAAAGATGAAATAACCTTTAAGTACTACTATGATGGTACAGAATGATAAATGTGCAAATATTCAATTGTTCTGAAAATCGTCCGAAGGCGTCAAGAGTATTGCACCGTTTTTAATGAGCAACTATGTAAAAAATTAAAGGTAAATCAAACTAAAATTGATTTAAAAATGATTAAAAATAAATTATCGTCATGCGTTTTTAATTGATAAGCTTGTAATTAAACATCGATTAAAAGTGTATGATTTTAATCTAATTTTCACTCTATTTATTTTTCATGGGCAGTAATGAATGTATTGTTCAAATCTGACGTTCTTTACGTATTCAAGTAGTTAACGAAATAGCCGCATAATAGTTGAAAAGAGTATTTCTATCGATTTTATCAAACGATCTGTCACTTTAAGTTCCAGTTTTAATGATTCTTTTTAATTTAAGTTATTACTTTTGACTAACTATCATTTATACAGTATGTTAAACAAGTGCGTTTGTTTTTGAACTTTTTAATCAACTGCAATTTATAGAATTCACTAGATATTAATGTTACTATATACCTATATTGAAAGTTCGTTTTTTATTGAACTTCAATAAACCGTCTAAGTATCATTGTAGCATGAAGTTAAAGACACAAGCCAGTCAAAATACAAGAGCGCTTATATACAGAAACAAAAAAATATTCAAAATGATGCTAAACATGAAGACGGCTTTGAAATATTGAAACATCACTATAAACTCCGATAAAACGCCTTTGAAATTTAGTTGTAACATCGATTTAAACTCTTCTTAGCTAAATACGAATTGATGACCCTTGATTGTGCATGATGAATATGAATTTATCAATATCAAAGGAAAAAAAAACATTCAGCTAGTCAATTTCTATCCTAGATAGATATTTTGAGTTCTCTTGGTTCAATCTTTATTACATGCATATAATTTTATCTCATATAACACTTGATAAAAACTATTAATTGACATACAAAATATAGATGTTTATTGCACAAAAGTTTGCATCCTCTACGAATTGAAATAGCTTTTCTTATAATCAAGATCTTTGTTCAATAAAAACTTGTGTTCTCTGCCAATTATAGCAGTTCTATCTAGTTCAGAAACTTTTTCTAATCAAAAGGATGTTAGTATGTGAACGTGATTTGAATAAGATTCTTCAATACTTGCACACATCTGTCCTTCGCATACATTCTTGTTTTGATAATTCTCTAGCAAGTGAAATAAATTATAGTACCTAATTACGATTGTAATGAGAGTACTGATATTATTCAATTTACATTGTCTTGGTTGCTGCATTTTCCATGAGAAATAACATCATATTATTCTTAAAAATAATGTAATGTAAACTTGAATATTAACAGTAACTGTTGTTTATCATCAACATCTTGCTTCAACTATCGTATATTCGATAATATTAATAATTGTGCACCAGGTATTGTATGTTCAATTTTAAAATTATGTAACAAAGCTACTTATAACTGTACATCAAATACTTCTGTATGCATCATTAACTTGTGTTGTGTTCATTATAAACAGTGCGGTTACCATTGTCATGGACAAATTTGTGCAAATCCGGTATTTAAAAACATTTAAGTTAAATTTGTAAATGCTCAAGAAACAACTCAACTACTTTATTACAATTCTTTTTAATGTGTGATTCACTCTTTAAAAATTCATGATTGAATGACTCTTTTCATACCATGTAAGTAATAGTATGAAAAGAACAATAGAAATATGAAGGACACATTCAACTATGAGAATGAAAAAAAATGAGATAAAAAATTAAAACAAGTTGGCATTTTCTTTATAATAGAAAAATAACAAACCAAATCAATACTGTAAATCGATTAGTAAAAAACAAAGTAATCGATTCTATGATAGGTTAAATGTTATTATTTTCAAAACGTTTATCAATATAATTCTTAGGGGAAATAAAATGATCAAATCATGTAATTTTTTTTGTGCTGCAATCAAATCAGTTTTATATATGATAGTCATCAGATTGAAACCAACTATTTTTTTCAAGTTTCTTTGATTTTTCAATTTATAGAAATCTTTTTATTCACTGTATCAGATGGAATCAATGTTCTTAATATAGAAAATTTTTTAAAAATTATATGCATTCATATATTTTCCATCAATTTTCTAATTGTTAATATTGCATTTAAGTTTTTCTGTTGAATACTTAATTCGCATAAAACTAAGTTTAAATGAGTATGTTAGACAATGTTAAGTTTTCTTCACTTTTCTAAGATAAAATATGATATTATTCGAAGTATTTAAAAGAACACAATAATAAGAGAAATACGCTCAAAATATGTAGAATAATCACTTATACTAAATCATCTGCAAATAGAATATTTAATAGAAAAATATTCATTTAACATCAACTGTTAAATGATTGATAGTAGTCAATTAAAGCTCAATTCAAAACTACAATTAATACTCGAACCTTACCATCAGATCAAATATTTCGCTTTAGACAATACAAAACTTTCGTCTGTTCAGTATATGACTGATTGAAATAGATTAATTAAAGTAAAATTTTTATTGCTATTCATTAACATTTACAATTGTTTTGACAATTTTAATGCTACTATTTTCATAATATGAAATTTCACCTTTTTTGAATCTTATTTCGTTAAGAGTCGAGAAATATTTTAATTTTTCACAAAGTAATTTTGATAAAGAATATCTACAGATCTAGAGCAGTTTATGAAATAAATTAATATCAATGCTTAATAGTCGATACCTACTTTGGTTATTCCATTTTGATATTTGGATCAATCTTACAAGGGAACATTCCCAGGTGGTAGAGCGCTTTCAAGTCGAGACATAGTGCATCTTGTAGACCTTAGTGAGCTGTGTCTATGGTAAAAAGAGTTTATGCTTATGGTTTGGTTCTAAGGAGATCGAACGATTTTAGTGAATTTTCGTTGTAGGGCCCCAATTTTGCAGCAAGACCATATTTTCGAGTTTCGATCTGAAACTTTGTCCATATAAAGATCTCAATTACACTAGTTTGTATAGAAAATTTCAGAATTTTTGGAGTAAGTCTCTCCGAGATACGAAGCTCTCAAAAAATACATGTTGTCTATACTATGTAGAAAAAACGATCTATACCTTGAAAGCTCCATATCTTGAAGAGACTTAGTTGAGGTGTGGATGTGTAATCAAAGAATACCAACACCCACACCCTCAAAGTTGAGATGAAATCAAAGTTCTTAACATGTGCAAAAACGTTATTTTCATTATATGCACTCATGTTTCTTATTTGACACAATATGATTAGGTACAATCTTCATATATTTCAGCAATAATAATTTGAGAGATATTAAACTACATTAATAGTAATAGTTTCTTCATATTGAAATTAATGTTTGTAGATAATTTAGTGAACTATCGTTGTAACATCCTTATTGAACTTGATTATAGTCAGAATTGTTTTAAGATAACGTTCTCTAGTAATAATGATATTGATAGTAACTTTATAAGACTCGATGACATGATAAAAGTGAATGATCAGATCTAAATTAACAAGATTTTTACATCAATCAGTCGACTCTAGGAAAAAATGGTGTAGAAACATTCAATCAAATATCTAGCTTTAAACTGCTATGAATATTTCGTCAGTTCAAATATAATTGATTAAAAATAACTATTTAAAGTGAACTTTCTTTTGCTCACTTTCACTTTCGATATGTGCTTTAACTTTTTTTACTGCTTCTGTTTTTCAATAATATTAAATTACTCTTGTATTGACCGTAATTCAATCAATGACATCAATAATCGATGTTAAGTTTTGCAAAGTATGTAAGTTATCCAAAATGAAATTTGAAAGAAAAATATCGGTCGACTTGAGCCAGTTTAAGAAATAAGATTGCATCAATATTTTATAACCAACAGTTACATTGCATTCTTTCATCTTGATTCATAGAATTGTAAAGCTAACTTTCATATCCAAAATCAGCTATTAGATTGACACTTAAAACAATTTTTCTCTTCATTGAACACGTTTCTCAAACTTTTTTCTGTGATAGTTTATTTTTAGCAAGCTACTATTAACATATGAACGACTACATCTACCCAGTATAGTGTCTAGCTAAAGAAAGACGGGTAGGCTTCGATAAAAAGACAACAGAAATCAATATGACTTAGAGATCGTATTTCTGACTGGAATGTCTTCGAATTTTTGCGGTGAATTTTGTACAACTTCTTGTTTTTTCACCTGGAAACGGCCTACAATTATAGGAAAAAGAGTGTGGGTGTGTGATGTAGGCATGAGTGAGTGTGAATGTGGGTGTGAGTATGAATGTGTGGGTTTGGGTAGAAAGAAAATATATACCCATATCTACACTCACACCCTAAGCATCTTCTTTGATAAAAGTTATGCAATATTCTATTTCATTTCTCCCATATAGATTGGAAAACTTCATGATTATTATTGGCATGTGCATAAGATTTATCACGTATCAAATTGATAATAGTGGTCAGTCGACTCGACTGTCGGAGAACGTTTGAGTAGAGTATAAACTATAGATTATAAAAAGTCATCAAAAAATTGCGAGAATCAATAAAAATTGAGAAGAAATCAGAAGAAAACGTCTTTTTGGACGATTTAATTGCCATACCGTCTCACAATTAATTGGACTAATAAATCATAATGAATCGGTTGAGTTTTAGGCGATCATCACCACACGGGAAAGTATACAGCTGGTAAGTTATTTTTATGCTTAATTGTTTTTTATAAATTGATCAAACTCGAAAGTAGTTATTGAGATCATCATTGTCTGTACTATCTTCATATGTGACTAATAAGTTCAAAAAAATTGATGTAAGATAGTGTAACTCGATTAAACACTCAACTTCTTATCAAGCATAAAACTGTACAGAAAAATAATCAAAATAACTGGATCATGCGGCAGATTTTTTTAGGCAAATTTTTTCTTAATGTTTCAAAAAAATATTTTCATTTTGAAATAGTTCATTAAGAATCATTGTAAATTGTCACGAGCAAGCATTTTATAATAAGCTCCACGTCGCTGTGTCAACTCTGTATAAGTACCACTTTCCACAATATGTCCTCTTTCAAGTACACAAATCAAATCACATGAACGAATAGTTGAAAGACGATGAGCAACATTGAGTGATGTTCGACTAGAATCTTCTCTTTGAGCTTGTTCAAGAGCTTCTTGTACAATCTAAAATTGAAAAATGAACATGAATCTTTAATTGATGAAAAGAAAAACTATTAAATTTACTTGTTCATTGTGTGAATCCATGGCACTTGTAGCTTCATCTAAGAGCAATACTTTAGGTTGACGAAGAAGAACTCGAGCAATAGCAATACGTTGTTTCTCACCACCTGACAGAAAACTACCTTTCAATCCTACTTTTGTTTCATAACCCTAAAAGAAGTTATTATGCAATAGGAATTGATACATTATATAATTTTTTATCGCTTAACCTGTGGCAACTGCTCAATAAATTGATGAATATTAGCTCTCCTTGCTGCATTGATAATGTCTTCCATTGAAACATTCTCTAATCCATATGCTATATTTTCAGCAATTGTTAAATCAAATAAAACTGGCTCTTGACTAACAAGACCAAAATGAGAACGAATCCATTGAAGATTTAGTTTTTGAATATCAATACCATCAACAAGCTAAATTGAATGAACAAATTTTATATAACTAAATAGTTAAACTATAGATTGAAGAAATACTAACTATTTTACCACTTGTAACATCATAGAATCGTTCCAATAGTTGAATAATTGTTGATTTTCCACATCCAGATCTACCTATATTGATCATATTACGTGATTAACATTCAAAAGAATAAACATCTAATTGAAACATACCAACTAGAGCTACATGCTGACCTTATCAGTGAATAAAAATGTAAAACAAATGATTAAATCGAAAATTATCACACTTACTTGGCTTGATATTCAATTGGAATGTATCAAGAATTATAGCTGTTGATCGAGTTGGATAGATAAATTTGACTTGATCAAATTTGATCTCTCCATGAAAATCAACCTATGAGAATGATATTATATCAATGATATGTGCATGATTAAAGGAAAATAGTTATTTTCTATGTTCTCTCACTAATTCTTGTCCTTCAGTAGATGTATTATCGATAGCTGGTTTTCGATCAAATAAATCAAAAAATGCTTCAGCAGCTGAAATTGATGCAGCAACACGGATAGATCTAGCATAGAGACATTATAAGAAAAAAAAACAATCAAAATAGAGATAGAGAGTGTTACGTCATCCCGAGGACTTTTAGTGCTTGTATTGTAAAAACAATCAACGCAAACATCCTAATAAATTAAAAACATCACGAAACGCCATCTCGAAATGATCAAACTGTGGTTTATGTTACGTCATAATGTGATTTGAGGTGAGTTCATTCTTTTCAATAAGGATGAGAGCACGCCAATACAGAAATGCTATAGCAAATCCATCTAGTGTCCAAAATACACTAGATATCATTGAAGATAGTAATAAAGGTTTCCAAGATGATCTATGATAAAGCAAGAATGATTAAAAATTAATATATGCATAAGATTCAATTGACTAACATAAATAGTTTATGAATAAGTTCAGAATATTGTCGTAATATTTCCTTTTCTATTGATAACTGTTTTATTGTACGCATATTGTGGAGAACTTCAATAGCAAGCTGAAGAAATAGAAGATAGAATAAATATAGTGTATTTGATTTATTAAACAATTCATAATAAAATAAATTTTCTGTATAAATAAAAGATTATTAACTAAAAACTGATCTTACTGTACTTGCTCGTCTGATTATTTGATCAAATTGTTGATTCTGCCATAGAAATAAGCATACTTCGCCATAGGCGATTAAGCATAGGATAAACAAAGAACCAAAAATGATTAATGTCAGTTGGCCACTTATGAAACATCCAAAGAGAATTCCAAAAAATGATAGAGCAAGAACTTCACAGATAACTCCTAATCGTGTACCAGTCATCTCTTGAATAGCTGATGCATGAGAAGAAAGACGAGTACAAATTGCACCAGAACTATTTTCGGGTCGATCAAAATAAGCAACTTCTTGACGAAGAAGACATGCAAAAGCTTTCGAACGAATACGTTGCGTCAATTTTGATCCTGATATGGCAAAAGCTGTATACTATAGAAGAAAGTAAATAAATTATTGATCGAATTCAAAAACAGCATATTTACCTGGAAGAAACGAAGAATAAATAAACCAACACCCAAAAGTAAAAAAAGAAAACTAGTAAGCACTATGTGATGACGTCGTTCTGAGATTGAACAATATTTGAAAGCCTACGCAATGAACAAATTAACAAAAAATATTAAATATGATCGATCATTCTCTACAATATTTGTATGAATGCATCACTCACTTCAACTATTTTGACAAGTAAAAATGCAAACAATGGTTGAGCTGCTCCATTAAGTATACATGCTATACAACCAATTAAGATCGTAATCCATTCAGGACTATTCATTGACAAAAGCCTTAAAAAGACAAATCTTTGTTTAAATGATTTTGTACTTCGCTAAAAGAGATTATTAATAATCGTTTTTATAAATAATTGTAGTCATATCTGTACTTTGGTCACATCAACAACTTGACTATCGCTAATTAAGCGAGAGCTCTCAACTGTTCAAGAAAAAAAAACAAAGAAATATGAAGACTATTACTGTAAGAATATGAACATACGTATCGACTTTTCATCTTCTTCTGTTGCTTTTTTTATACTCATCATATTATCTTGATCGTCGTAAATTCCTTCCATTTGTTGACGTTTGACCATTGCTTGATATTTGCCTCCTTCTTTTACCATCAATGTTTCATGTGTACCTTGTTCAATTACACTTCCTTTTTCTAATACATATATTTGATGAGCATTTTGAATTGTACTTAAACGATGAGCAATTACAATAGTTGTACGACCTATATAAAATATTATATCAATACCATAAGCAAAAAAAAACAATTGTTACCATGGCATGCTCGATCAAGTGCTTCTTGAACAATTTTTTCGTTAACATTATCAAGTGCACTTGTTGCTTCATCCAGTAAAAGAAATGTAGGCTGTTTAATAAGAGCACGAGCTAATGCAATACGTTGTTTTTCACCACCACTCAACTGTACACCACGTTCACCAACAAGTGTTTTATATTTCTAAACAAAAAATTATGATACATATATATATATATATAGATATAGATAAAGATAAAAATGAATATTTGTCCCAAACATCTGGTAATTGCATGATGAAATGATGTGCATTAGCTTCTCGTGCTGCTTGTTCAATTTCTTCTTGTGTTGCATTGAGTTTACCAAAACGAATATTTTCATAAATACTCATATCAAATAAAATCTATTAGAATAGCAAATTAAATAGAAAAACGAGAAAAGAAAAAGGAAAATAAAGCGTACGGGTTCTTGACTAACAGCTCCAATGTTTTCTCGAAGTTGTTTGACATTATAGTCTGTTATTGATCGACCATCGATCGTTATTCGACCAGATGAAGGTTCATAGTAACGAAGAAGCAATGACAGACATGTACTTTTTCCTATAAATAATTAATCAACACAAATGAGATCACTTTAACATTTGTGTTTTTTTGGCAAAGACTTACCACAACCACTTGAACCTACAAGAGCAGTCCTCTGACCAGCACGAGCAATAAGAGAGAGATTATGCAGAACTGGTGCTTCTTTTCGAGATGGATAAATAAAGTCGATATTGTCAAATTCAATATCACCATTGATATTATAAATTGATTCTGTATCATCTTTCCATACATCTGCTTCATTGATACCTGGATCATTTCCCTATGTCATTTAAACAAATAGAAAACATTACCATCGATATTAAACATCAATTTACTCGAATTTACCTCATCAATAAGTCGAAAGACTGCTGCTGCTGCACCTCGAGCTTCTGACATTGATTGAAAAAAAGGAACAATGAAACTGAAGAAACACAAGCAATCTGCAAAGAGGAAGACGACCTATATTAAGATAGTAGTCTTTTATTCATATACATAATGATTGATTATATGAATTACTTACAACAAGAATATCACTAATATCCGAATTATGATGAACTCTGTCTGACGTGAAAAGAGAACCAAAGATAAAACCAACTGAATAAGCTAGGTAGGATATCAGAGATAGCCATCCAGTAAAAATTCCAAACACCGCACCTTGTCGTATACTACTCCAACGAGTAGAATGTAATTCTTTTTCATACCTAAATACAATCCATGAAACAACGTGTTTTATGATATCAAATAGGTAAATTATTTATATATATTTGTTTACCGTTTCTGCTCAAATTTGCTACCATTGAGTGAAAGAACAGTTCTCAGTGAACTAAACACTTCTTGAACGATTTGTCCTGCTTTCGAATACGTCATTAACTCATTCATTGTTTCTTTAGCAGAGACCTATTGCATTTCATAGAGATTTAATTGATTGAAGAACATTTCATACTGTAGAAAACACGAAGGAACTACCAATGACTAAAGGAATCAAACATGCCATGATCAAAGTCAGCTGCCAGTTGACAACGAAAGATACTATCAAGCAACCAATAAGGCTGAGTAACGTTACTATCAATGTTATCAGTTCGAAACCAATGCTTTTATCGATCTTTGCAATGTTACTGTACAAAAATTGAATGAGATATAGTTATTTTCATACACACTATCACAATGACTTACTCCAATAGTTTAGCATGGAGGTGATTGATTGGTTTGGAATCCATATAAGGAATACTCTAAAACAAGAGAGAGAGAGAGAGAAACAGTCAGAGATGACCAGATTCGACTGAGTGTCACTCTAATTGCACTCCTATTGCCAAAATTTGTTTTCATCTATATTTTCTAAATTCCAGTTCAATTCCAACTTTATATTTTTGTTGAAAATCCTACTGCAACTCTAACTATAAATATTCATGTTCTATACTGAAAAAAAAACCATATACGTAATTTTAAAAAAAGTTCCGAATTTCGCCACGAAAACAAAACCTATTTTAAGTTTCGTACAAAAACATATTCACTTGGTTTTAAAAAAGGTTTTGTAGTCAAAATTTCATACGAATGCTAATGTAATTCCACTAAGCCTATAGCAATCTATTCATCTATACCTGTGGTACTGTATGTGTACCAGACATTGGCCAGAACGACTGTTTCTCTCCTATCCTTCTGCTTTTCTCGGTCCTGACAGGCGGCAAGATAGGACCTAAATTATTGTTTTGTCCTGCTGTCATACTCCGTTGTGACGAGCAATACAGCAGGACAGGACACCAACACAGCAGGATCGTTGTGTCCTGTGCCCATCTTTAATCTATACCTATCCCAATCAGTATACACCTTTTCCGCTAAATCTAATCGCCTATCTTTAATCCCTTAATATATTTCCCTCCATGTATCCGTGTAAATCTACATATGTATCCTTGATCGAACTTCTTTATCTATTCTCTTAATGCATATCTATCACCTTTATTTATTCCTTAATCTATATCTTGAATCTAACTTTTCAATCTATCTCTCGAAATCTATATTGATCCGCTCAATCTAATTTTTTAATATAATTACTGAATGTATACCCCTATTCTATCCTGTCAGTCTGTCCCTTTAAATCTGTCTCTATCAATCTATATCTATACCTGTATACTTGTATCTATAACGAGACCCATCTGAAACAGGTGAACCATTAACATTAATTTTTATATTAAACATTGACTAATCATTTTATCATGAATATTAATGAAAAATGGGCGAGTGACATCACATTATTCATTATTATTAACGATCAATAGGTCACCTAACCATTAATGATAAGTTCCAGTTTTTTCTTTTAACATATATAATTTACTTAAAATTCAGTGAATCAGTGATTTATATGAGAGCTATACTATTCCAATCAATTTTTCTCACGAGGGAACATTTTCAAGTGATCCATTCCGTTTGCCTTCATATTATGCCCATATGTAGGGGACCATTAGATTAGAATAAACTAAAAATGGTTTGTGGTCTTATTTAGATTTGGCCGAGATATTGAATTTTTAGTTGACTTTTCCTACAGGAGGTTAGTTTTCGAGTAAAATCATATCTTCGAATTTCCGCCTGAAACTTTGTCAACATGGAGGGCTTGCTAAGACTAACTCATGCATAAATTTTCATCATTTTTAGAAATTACATCTCTGAAATATGAATCTTCCAAAATATACATGTTTTACACTATATCTGTAGAAAAGTGCCTGTCTTTTTTGAAAACCTTATATTTCAAAGATGCAATTTCTAAAAATGATGAAACTTTATGCATGAGCTAGTCTTAGCGAACCTTCCATATCGATAAAGCTTCAGGTCAAAATTCAAAGATATAATTTTGCTTAAAAATTAACCTCCTACAGGAAAAATCAACTGAAAATTCGACATCTCCACCAAATCTCAATAAGAGCACGAACCCTTTGAAGGTTATTCGAATCTAATAATCCTCTACATATGGGCATCATATGCAGGAAAACGGAGCGGATCACTTCGGAATGTTTCCTCGTCAGTCAGGAAGGTGTATTGACGAAAATAACATTTTTTCTAAATAAAATTTTGACTAACAGCATAAAAATCTTAGGTTATAAGGTCTGATAAAACGCGACTCATGAGTTTCGAAAAATCATATAGAGATTCGGGTTCGTTGACCTTGAAGACTGTTAATCAAGTTTTATTTGAAAAAAATCGTTATTTCCAGAAATAGGCCTCTCTGATCAAGAAAACTAAACGGAATAGTATTATGTCCATTCTAGCCACTAATCCTCTTAGGTTTAAGTAAGTTATGTACTAAGTCCCTCTCCTTCACTCAGAAAGCTCGATTTTTATCAAAAAAATGATTTTTGAGGTAAACATATAAACATGTTGCCAGAGTTGCCTAGTGTACGAATTTATAAAAATAGCTTTGATTTTCGAAGGTTCTGAGGGAGATTATGAATAATCTTTGGAAGTATTTGGATAGATAATGATATCTAGAGCAATCAGAAAAGTTTTTGGATAGATAATGATATCTAGAGCAATCAGAAAAATTTTTTGTACAGATAGATTTCCAAAATAAACAAATATTTTTCGAAAGTAATCGAATATTGTGCACCTTAGAAATATACTTTATGAGATCTATAATGACATGAGGGTATCTGTGTGAATCTTTTCTTCATCCACGTCCACACCCTAGAGACTTGATAGAACTGTTGAATTGTTGATATATCTATTTCCCAGATATTCCTATAAGACCATAGAGTTTTCCAAAAATTGTACTTTTGAATTTTGTGAGTGTGGGTATAGGTCTTCTCTAAATTTATATGTACATCCACCCTGGCACTGTTACCTTGAACCTTATCTTTTAGATCTAGAAGTCCTAGAAAAATAGACATGTCATGGCATACATAGCTTTTTTTCTAGATACTTTAGCTTATTTCGTGGGTTTGCTGGAATTGATAATTTATGGATAGTGAAAATTTCTTAAGAAGAAAGAACATAGAATGTTATAAATTTTAAGAAACGCTAAGACAAGACTGGAATTAAACTTTGAAGCTCTTTTTTGTAAATGAAAGTATATTTGACTTACGCGTTGAGCAAGTGATCGAAAGAGAGAAACATTCATACAGAATATCTGTCGTTTCACACTAATGCTCCAAATGAAATTTTTAATAGAGTCGGCTAGATATTCGACGATACTGGTAACTACATAGACAAGAAAGAAAAGACAATATACCTTATTTATAATAATCAGATTACTACGCTCATATAACTTACTGAATAACCAGCGAACTATGCTCATAACTTGTTCTCGAAAGGAAGACATTGATGTAGGTAAAGTTGATGATAAAATTAGAGAACTATTATGGTGCAGTCTACGGTGAACAATTACCAAAAAAAATAGAAGAACTTCATAGTAACTAACAATAGTTTTTAGTTACTTACTTATGTAACAGAGCATTGTTAAATATACTGAGGTCAATGCCTTGAGAATATGTGTTATTGGTCTTTAATGCAGCTGTAAAATTTTGTTGTTCATCATCACAATTATCACCAAATAATTTAATAACAAATATTCCTGTGAGTCGAGCAACGAGAATTTGATTAGCTAGTATGCAAGTCATCCGCAGCAACATCAAACTCATAGCAATAAACATCAGAAGAATATCGATGCGGTTTGCAAATTGAAACTGCAATAAAATCAAATACATCAATCAGATGGGATTTCTTCTGAATATACTTACTAAACGAAAAACACCAACCGGTTCATCTTTGTCATTATGTTCAGTATCATCATCTAGTTTTATATATTTATTCTCGCTCTCTTTTCTCTTGAAACATCGGCGCCAATCAGAAAAACTATGAACAATGATAAATTCATTGTATTTTTCTCGAAGCTAGTTACTTATTGCATCATACCTATCGATCAAAAGTTGTTTCTTGTTCTTATTATTAGTATCATCATTACCAATAGACGATTGACCGGAAACGTTTAAGAGAGGTTGGCTATCATTCATCTGATGTTTTTTTCAACAAGACTACGATCAGAAATAACGAAGAGAAGAATGTAGAAATAAGCATGCAAAATGTGGTTTGTCATTGTTATGTTAGCTATTCATGCGTTTCTTTTCTCTTTTCTTTGCTTGTCTTCTTATTTAAAATACATGAGCAGTAAATCGATCATCCAATCATGATAGAGCATAATTACAAACAGCTTCCCTCATTAGTTTGTAGGTATGTAAATAACACATATGCTTCGTCTTTGTCTAATGTACATAAATAAATAAAATACAAATAGAAGAAAACGAAGTAAACTTGCTAAAAAATAGAAAGTGAAAGACGATGCTCGTTAATACAACGTATCTTGTTAGTTTAACCCTTTGGTGGCCAGTGGTACATATATGTATCACTTTTTTTGTGGCCACAGAACTACAATAAATTAGGCGAAATGATTTTGGCAGAAAGAACGATGATACTGCATAGCTGGGATTATTTTCTTGCTATTCAAATTAAAATTCAAGTTACATAACAAAGAAAAGGACATTATGTATTTCTTGTCCAATTGCGCAATAAATAAGGGAAAAATAAGATAAGAAAGAATGTGACAATTTGAATTATTTTCAAGGACAAAAAAAAGATTGCACTATATATATATGATGAATATAAATAATCCAAAGAACAGAAAAGAAAAGAAAAGAAAACAAGAAGGAAACAAGAACATATATATGTGCATGTGCAGAAAATGTGATATATTTTGTTATTATGCACTCTGATAGTCGTGCACTGAATTTGTTGGAAAATTCCAGAGTTTTATAGAATAGACAGAATTGTCACTATTTTATAGAATATTTTAGGCAGTTCCACAGTAGTATATAAAACGAATCCATTACAGAAAATTGTAAGTCATCCCGAAGTAATACAGTGTACAACTAATCTTTGAATTGACGAGTATAACCAGAATACCTTTCTGCGAAATTTTTAATTGTGTTTCGATAAATATGAGTCGTTTTACAAATATGACGACAACAACACATGAATTTTAAGAAAATGCATCAGAAGATATGTCTGTCAGCGTTGAAGATGATTCTGATGGTGGTGAAAGTAAATCTAAGAATATGTGTGTCAATGATGAGGAAAATTCTGAAGGTGGTAAAGGTGATTCTGAAGATAATAAAGATTATTCTGAAGACGATGAAGATGATTCTAAAAATGATTCTGAAAATAATGAAGGTGATTCTGAAAGTGATGAAGATGGTTCTAAAGGTGATTCTGAAGGTGAATGTGTCGATGGTAAAAGTGATACTGATGATAATTCTGAAGATGAAAATAGTCCAGCATTACCGCCGTTATCAGATTCACGTTCTCCATGGATCGCACAGTTTCATCCTCCTTTCACACAACAATTTCAATCTTCAACAAAGTGTTCTGATGTATTACCATCATCTCCGATTCAAACGTTTAGAAAACTCTTTAGTGATGATGTTTTCAATTTGATACATGAGCAAACAAATATTTATGGGAAGTAGAAACATCAGAAAGCGGGAGATATGAGTAATTAGATTGATATTACAAAAGTTGAAATAGAACAGTTCCTTGGTATCAACATCATTATGGAATATTGCAGGAATCCATCAGTCGATTCCTACTGGTCTACGGATGCATCGTTTCGGAATGAAAAGATTTCAATATCAATGTCACGTACAAATTTCAAAAAAATCTTACATAATTTACATCTTGCCGACAAATCAAAAACAGCAAAGAGGAGCAAAGTAGAATCCAAAAAACTATACAAGGTCCTAAGTTTTCTTGAACTGTTGGTGCACAATTTCCAGACATATTTCGATCTCGGAGAAAAATTGACAGCTGATGAAATGATGATAAAGTTCAAAGGGAGATCCTCTTTCAAACAATATATAAAAGAAAAACCAATCAAGCGGGATAATAAGGTCTGGGTGCTTGCTGATGCATCGACAGGTTATGTATATAATTTTGACATTTATTACGGTAAATCGGTAGAAAGACATGTACCATTAGGTGAACATGTTCTCTGGTTATTGAACAGAGGACTTTCAATGAAATTTCATCATGTTTATTTCGACAACTTTTTCACATCGGCATCCTTTGTCGAATGACTTCTCGAAGATGGAATTTATTGCACTGATACTCTTAGAGCTAACAGAAAAGGTATTCCACCTGAAATTGTTCGTTATACTGAAATGGGTCGTGATGATGTGAAATTTTTAGCAAAGAATTCCATTTCAGTTGTCAAATGGACGGATCGAAAGCCAATATACATGATGTCTCATTTTTCTGATCCATCAGACATGATAACAATTACTCGTAAATTGAAAAAAGGAAAAACAATTCAGCTATGGTGCCCAGTAATGATTCAGGATTACAACTATGGAAAGGTTGGAGTTGATCGGGTCGATCAAAGAATTCAGTATTATGCTGTTGACAGAAAGTGACATAGAAATTGGCTTCGGATATTTTTTTATTTCTTCAATGTGGCGTTATCGAATGCTTTTGTTATCTATCAAAGAGATCATCCAAATGACAATATGAGATACTTGCAATTTTTATCTATTATTGCTGAACAACTAATTAGTTGCAGGTCTTCAGTAAATAAGAGAAAAGGAAGACTTGTAACCAACTTTGGTGTTAAAAAACGCAAGAAAGGTGAAAGATAAATATCCATTTCTAATGAAATTCGATTTTCCAATGTTGGTGTTCATCTTCCAATTCCTACGTCTCGAAGGAGATGTGCCTACTGCAGCACTAAAAATAGCCAACAACGATCTTCAATAGAATGCTCAACTTGCAAAGTAGCTTTATGCGTTTCAAATGAAAGAAATTGTTGTTATTTATTCCACATTAATTAGAACTTCATATTGAAATCTAAAACCAATGCGATTCTTTTCATAGTCATACTTTTTTTTTGCTAGTTGTTTTCCTTTACTACACTCTTTCATATAAATTATATTCGTGTTCTTGCAATAAATGGACATGGCACACCTGAAGTATCTCAGTACTGCTGACCTAATCCTTGCGCACGATAATCTGGACTAATGCTCATCTTGCTGTGCCATAAAAATCGACAGAAGTTGGCCAACCAAAATTTGGTCCGCAAAAGGTTAACTAGGGTGGGAGTGTGAGTATTCGTGGAAGTGTTGTTATGGGTATGGATCTTCTCTTCTAGCAAAATCTGCACTCACATCTACATCCAGACTCATATCCACCAGAGATGGGAACAGGATAAGTTTTTCCGTCCTGTCCTGTCCTGTCCTGCAGAAAAACTCCGTCCTACCACTCTCAGGACAGGACAAAATTTCGAGTATCGTCCTGCAGGACAGGACAGGACAAGAAGCAGGACAAACATGACATCTTTAATTTTCTATCAAGTACATCATATATCACGTATTTCTATCATCTTCTAATCAATTTATTTTATAATTTGATAAACGTCAGTTCTCTTTTTGAACAACTTTTAACTGAATAAATACAAAAACGAACACGATGTACTAGTTCTTTAGTAACATGTTCATCACAAAAAAAAAATATTATAATACAAGATTTATAAACATTACATAATCATCATCACAGTGGCAATACAATAATAATATCAACAAAGACAAAAAAAGATTGATCAATCTTTATGGATAATTTACGTGTTCACAACAAAAAAAGTAACGTACAGAAAGAAAAAAAACAAACATTATTGCAAAAGATAATTATACTTTTGCATCGATCTTACCAAAAGAATATTATCTAATTGTTCAGGATTTAAATTTGTTCTTCGTTCTTGTATAACTAATCCTGCTGCTGAAAATTCTCTTTCTACGCCCGCAGAAGTAGCAGGAATTGAAAAGATCGAGCGAGCTAGACGAGATAATCGTGGAAACTTTTCATGTTGCTCCTTCCAAAAG